TTATGAAAGAAAGGAAGGGGGGGGGGGGGGGGGGTAGAAGAGGACAAAGAAATTTGCTCAGAAGAACTGCAATATCCCTGGTGGTGGGAGAGAAACCTCCCTCAGGCCCTCTCAAAGAAGGCATTTATATATATATATATAAAAAGCCAGCGACTGGTACGCCAGGACAACCAGAACAACCGGTTGCTATGACCCACTGCGGCCAGCCAACCTCCCACAGCTCCTCCCCGCAGCTGGCCTGGCCCCAATCGGCCCCCATCAGAGCAGGCAGGCCAGACTCCACCCATGCACAAATTCGTGCACTGGGCCTCTAGTAATCTATTATATTTAGTTACTTTTCTAAATTTTAACTATATAATTTCAGGTATTCTTTATTTTTCACAGATACTGTCTTCCTGATTCACCCCTACCAGTTAGGATCAATTAAATGGAGAGTTCGAGAAGGATAAATAAGGAGTGTTTATGTATATGGGGGAGGAGTGTAAATGGTAGAATGCTTATTTGTTAGGACAGGTTGACACATAGAGTTTTACAACAAAGAGAAGACGTTTTAAACCACTATGCTACACACCTGAAACTAATATAGAATGTCAACTGTAATCGAAAAATAAAAAATAATTTTAAAAAGTTTTAAGAGAAGACTTTTTTAAAAGACAAAAACAAAAGTTCTCTTCACATAGAAAATACTGGAAACCAATCAATGCGCCCCATTCCCAACACGAAACCCTAGAGCAGCCGTGGGCAAACTACGGCCCGAGGGCCGGATCCAGCCCGTTTGAAATGAATAAAACTAAAAAAAAAAAAAAGACCGTACCCTTTTATGTAATGATGTTTACTTTGAATTTATATTAGTTCACACAAACACTCCACCCATGCTTTTGTTCCGGCCCTCCGGTCCAGTTTAAGAACCCATTGTGGCCCTCGAGTCAAAAAGTTTGCCCACCCCTGCCCTAGAGCCTCATGTCCTCTAGCCCTGGAGAGCCAGGAGGAGCAGCAAGGCAGTCCGAGAGGGAGGAGGGCACGACAAGCACAGTGAGAGGCCGCCGCCAGCCGTCACAGAACACCAGCGGCCAGTTGAGATCGCAATGCAAGAGCGGGCCCCAGTCTGGGATGATACAGATCTTCATGTCACTTGATGTTTCTATGATCAATTTTGCTTGGTTGGTCTTTGCAATTAACAAGCATAAGATTTTGAACACAAAGAACAATTTTACTTTCAGAGGTCCACATGCACATGCTTTAGTAAGGATCAGACACGCACACTCGCACATGCATATATACACACACACATGCACACTCACACACACATGCATGCACATTCACACACATATACACTCACACACATAGATACACACACATACTCATACAGACATATACACATGTACACACATGCTTGCATACATACACACATGCATGCACACTCACACACACACACACACCATCGCACTCACCTTGTTCAGCCACTTCAACCCCGGTATCGTGTTCGAGTTGATCTGTTCCTCTAGCCATGGGCGCATGCGCATCCTTTCCACCGGCATGGTGCCCGTCTGCGGAGAGACAATCCACATTAGGCACTTCTGCTAATGACTGCCTTGTCCACACCGGAAAGTTCTACGCACCAGCCTGACCCTCTATTGTCCCCTTCCTCGTAATCCCACAGCCTGTGTCCGGGGGGACTGGGGAGGGAGGCATATTCGGGGGCTCCACCCTCGAGCCACCTGCCCCTGCTCGAGCAGCCGGGTCGTTCCAGAGGGGCTGTCTCCATGGGGCAGGGCTGCAGGCCAAGCGGGCTCTCAGCTGAGGGGGTCCCACAGACAGAGGCTGGACTGGCAGAAACTCAGCTACCCAGAGGGCCCAGCACCTGAGTGAGCCCGCCTAAAGCCAGGTCTCGCCCCCTCCCAGCCAGGCTGTGTTAACAGCACACACCGTCAAGGTCCCAGCATTCAGAGCATCAGTACTGTACACCTGTGGGCATTATCCTCCCAGGACCATGGGGGACAGTGCAAAACCGTGGTTGTGGGAAAGACATTACAACCAATTCATTCCTTTGGGATATTAGGGCCACAGAAATGCTTTGAACCCCAATACTGCCACTTTAAAGCTCTAAAGGGACCAGTTCACTGGGTCCAAGGTCCCTCCGGACATATTCCGTCCCCGCTCAGCGCTCACAGCGCCTTGTGCTGGCTCCAGCCTTGCTTTATGTGAAAGCGTGCACTCATTCACTCCCGCGAGGATCTTCTTCTCTGTGCCCACCCCCTCTGACCTGATACCATCCGTCCTTTTCCTCCAACTTGCTTTCCCTCTGAAAACTGTCCCATGGCTAAACACCTTTTCTCTGCCAGCTCACATAGTGCTCTTCCCTCCTGCCACATACATTCTAGGCATCTTTCCCGTGTCCATCAAAATATATCCAGAGTAGAATCACTAACAACTTACTGTCACCCCCTCATCTTCATCTTATTTACACAAAAATTTCAATTTAGTGCGGATTCAAAAGCCAAGATGATGCCAAGTCAGGCCTCCATTCTATAGGACTTCGTGGCCAGTGTGACATAATCCTCTTTCCACCCTTAGCTGTCTTTCTTTTACTCATTTCCTCTCAAAAAAAAAAAAGAGCTCTGAGGATTCTATTCAGATAAACTTGGGCTGAGATAATCAAAGCCTCATTAACTCCCTCTTCCAGCTCCCAAAGGACGTCCTCCCTCCTGGATGCCCTGCCCCCAACTCTGCCAGAGTGCTAGCATCCTTGCAGGACCCGCATGGGGCCGCACCCTTTGCCTATAGAGACTAATCCAATTCTAGAACAGAATTCTAGAACCCGTCTCTCCCTGGTATGTCTCCCCCAGTTCGGATGCACTCATTGCTGCAGACGCCTCCTACTTCTTGCTCATACCATGCCCTCTCTCCTCTTTCCCGGACCTTGCCAACCCTCACCCATCCTCCAAGACCCAGTTCCCACCCTCCTTTCTCCACAGGACTTGCCAGTCCACACCAGCCTGAAGGAATCTCTCCTCCTGTGACTCCCACCCTACTCATTGGTCTTACATGCTCATTTGGAAATCAAGCATGGCTTTCGGAAAGCTATTGTAAGCTGTCTTTATTCTTACCTGACTCTTACCCTTAATATGAACTTTCAACTGTGCGCACTCTTCCTTCCTAACCAAATTGTAAGCTCTCTGAGAGTAGGAACTCCACCTCTTATAGGTCCTTTTACAATCTACAAAGCCCTCCACCCGGGAGACCTTCAATACAAGAACCAGGCCAGTTCTGAAGATCAGCCTAGCTGGGTCGCCATTGCAGGTGGGCTCCATCCACTCATCTGGTCACCATTCTTTGAGACGAGTGAAAAGGACTTCAAGGACAGTCCGAAAGGGTGTGGAACGGCCACAAGGAGCCCCCAATACAGCTGCTCTTCGTGGTTCTCAAGTCCTTCCTCTCATTTACGTATCCACCTATTCACAGAGCATTTACTGAGAATGATACTCCAGGAGCGGGAAAAGGCCAGACATTCCCTGCTACCCAGGAGCTCCTGGCCTAACAGAAGACAGGGAAGAAGAGAATTGTCACACCACAAAAAGAGCCCTGCTTGCAGAATGATGAGGAGTTACAGGGGAGCACTGGGAGGAGATGTCCACAGAAGATCCTCCTGGCGACTGGCCACTGGGAGGGCTCTGCCCAACAGGGTGATGACCGCCAACCCGGTCTCAAGATCTCGGGGTGCAGAGAGGGGGCAGCTGGGTCCAGAGCAGTACAGGAAGTAGAGGGAAGAGCACCCTGAGGAGTAGCTACAGTAGTCACACGTCTTCAGAGGGGACAACGTGACAAGCAGAACTGCTACGGGCCACTACCGTCCTGGTGTACCTATCTCAGCAATACGGAAAGTGACAGGGATGTGAAAACGGCCCTGCTTCCGACTCACCGTTATAATTATATGCTATTTCCTACCATATTATTTTTTTCCACAAATGACCCATTTAGGGGGGTAAATCGTCACCTGAAATATTTCAAAAAGCTTTCTGACTTTAAAACGAAAGCTTTCATGGGGAGGTACAGTCAGCCTCATTATTTGCAGAGTGCATATTTGCAGTCGTCTACTCACTAAAATTGATTTGTAACGCCCAGATCAATTTTCGGGGTGCCTTCCCGGTCATGAGCAGAGGTGAAAACCTGGGGTCTTCCGACACCCACGGTCCCAGCCGAGGTCCGACAAGACGACATTCTGCCTCATTTCACTCACACTGTGAACAAGTGTCCTTTTCAGTGTCTATTTCTTGCAACACTTTTCTGCTCTGTGTTGGCGATTTTACTGTTTAAAACAGCCGGCAGGAATGGGCTGAAGTGTGGAGAAAAGATGTGCCTCTCAGGCCTGAGTTAGTGTTGTTGGCTGGGAGTTCAATGTCAATGAATCAACCATTGTTAAATGAGGAGCCTTCACACAGAAACACACCTAGAGCGCAGTTACTGACTGGCGGATGCAAATGCTGTGATCAGAGCCTCACAGGAACCGAATGTCCTTGCAGAAGGAAGGGGTTTTGGACGAGACACACACAGAGAAGGCCACGTGAGCACACAGACAGAGGGAAGAGAGCACACAGAGGGGAGGGGCCACGCGAGGGCAGAGGCTGGAGTGCTGTTGAAGGCAGCCATCTTCTGTATAATTACAGGACAACTTTGAACATATCAAAGACTCCCAGAATATTAGCACTGAGATGTTCTCCACGACTTCATACATATAGTGATTAATAAAGCAATTTCGAGGGATTGTCATCCCGAGCTGTGATCCACATGAATGTGATTAACACCAAGTAACCAAAGTGACTTATGTATGTCCATGTGGTGGTTTTTGTGTTGTTAATAGCCAGGGCATCCCTGCTGATACACAATGAAAAGCCAACCGTTTTACACGGAGGCACTTCCTCTTTTTTACTGATTTTATAGCCAGCTCCCACCTCCCACACTGGACAGGTAATGAATTACTTGGTCTTGGCACATGACACAAATGAGAAAGGGCATAGTTCGACACAGATTGCTCATGACCATCAGAATTTGAGCATGCGCTCTTCATTCCGTGAAAGAAAGCGAAGGTGGAGTTCTACAATGAGCCTGGCACCAGAAACTTGTCATGTAGTTTGTACTAAAAATATATTCTATTTCCGGAGACTAAGAGACTGGGAAGACAGTCACAGAGGGGCAGGAGACCAAGTACTGAGAGTACCGAGTAAAGAGACTCACTTGGCCTATATTTTCTCGCTTCCATCAATGAAATTGAAACTGATAGATCAGCCTTCTTTCTATAAGGCAAGGTTCCCATGGGCACCAATACCCCAGCCACATGAATCTTGAACAAAGTTAAAGAAGGTATGGAACTGGTAGAAAAGACACAGAGAACCAAAATACAGCAGAAAACAGAACACCTGTGTGCAGTCCTGACGTTGCTGTTACTACGGGGTGTCCTTGGGCCAGTCACTCCCTTGTTCTAGTCCACACTTTGATCGTCTAAAAAAAAATGAGAGGTTTCAAAAAGATAACATCCGGGGTTATCTAAGATTCTAGGAATCCTTGCGTAACACGAAGGCCCGTTATCTGATTTCCTTGTTTTGTGAGCTTTTAATCTTGTGCACTGTGTTGGTTTTAAAAGTGAATGCTGACATTTTAGGATTCTACAAATCTAAAATATGAAGTAGCCACCCTCAAGCTTGACAACAGGCACTTTCTAAAATCAGCTCCCACTACACCTCTGAGTTTTGGGGTTGGAGTCATCTTCAAAACCATGGCCTCGAGCTGTAAATCATCTCAGGACTCAGGCAGGTATTTAGACTATTCCTGGCATCAGGGCTGCTACATAAAGGCATGCAGTTGGTCACTGTGATTTGCAGGGTGTGAATTCACACATCCTGTGAAGCCCATCCCCCATAGAGTTAACAATGCCTCAGTAGTGGCATTAACAGTGATCTTGAATTTTAATCTCAAAGAACAAGGGCTTGGATCTTGGTATTGAAATAGCAATGGCCCCTATTTATTGGGCACTTAGTATATGCCAGCATTAAAACCAGGATTTTCTATGAGTTTCTCATTTATTCTTACAACCCTGCAAGGCAGGGACTTTATGACCCCATATTACAGATGAGAGGATCATTGGGGAAGTGTTTAAAGGCAACCCGCTCGTAAGTAGGGACGCCCAGACTCATTCGGGTCTGTCTGAAACGCCCAGGCTCAGCAACCCTAACCTCTGCTTCCTTCCTACTTTAGGAAGCAGTTAGGATGGGCTTGTAACTGTTCTTCTTACTGAGCCATTCCCAACTCCTCTCTGTTTTGTGTATTGCTGGCATATTAATCTTCCTAAAATGCCACTTAAATCATGTTAATGTTCTGTTCAAGAGACTTCTAAACCTCCCTGCTGGATTTAAGATAATAAAATCCTTGGCTGAGAGAGGGAGCCTTACAGTGACTACTCAACAAGAACAATGGAAGACCGGAGACAATGGAAAGATGTCTTTACAGGACTGAACGAAAATAACTGCTATTCAAAAATTTAAATACAGCAAAT